GGAACCAAGGCAAGAGGATTGCCTGCGCCCAGGAGTTCAAGACCAGTCTGGGCATAAAGACCAGTCTGGGCAACATGGCGAGACCTTGTCACTACAATAATCAAAATATTAGCCAGCATAGTGGCACACACCTGTAGTCCCAGCTACTTGGAAGGCTGAAACAGAAGGATCGCCTGAGCCTTGCAGGTCGAGACTGCGGTGGCTGTGATCATGCCACTGCACTCCAGCCTGGGTGACAGAATGCGACTCTGACTCAAAAAAAACAAAAAAACAAGGAAGTGTTCTATGTGCTGATATGGAAAAATTGCCAAGTACCGTCAGTGGGCGAAAAAAGGTTGCAAAGCAGTATGTAGAATATGCTAGCTTATGTGCTTAAAAAAAGGCAGGGAGAGAATAGAGACTCAGTTTTGCTTGCATATGCACAAAGAAATTCTGAAGAAGCAAGAAACTCGACAACAGTGGTTACCTGCGTGTGCGGGGAGGAAGGTGCCAGGCAGATGGCAGAAAGCCATGGGAGGAAAGCCTTTGTTATCAATCTTTCACACTCCTCAATTTTCTGACTGCAGAACTGTATTATCTCGGTGATTTTTATAAGCAGGGGAGCGACGTGGCTGTCATTTGCTCCTTAGAAAGCTCACTCTGGCTGCCGGGCAGAGGGGAGACAGAGAGAGGTAAGAGGAAGGGGGGGTATATGCACTCCCAAGTCATAGGCAAATGCCAGGTGACTCACCTGCACTGGAGGCCGCTCCAGGAGCTGCTGGGGCCAGCGCCAACCACCCTACCTGCCCTCTCTGAACAGGGACACAGGATCTCTCTGCTTGGAGTCCCAGGCAGAGCCTTGGGGGTTATCAGTAGGGTGGCACTGCCTGATGCCACTCCCTTGTGCCTTGCAGTGTAGCAGGCGGAGGGGATAATGCTTGGGAGCAGGAAGCACAGGGTGAGAGAGGCTGGGGCTAGGCTACCAGTCCTGCAGGCACACTAACCATCCTTCCCCTCCCGTCTCCGCTGTGATTCAGGCAAGGCATGTCCTGTGTCTTAACCTGCTCGTTCACCAGTTAAATTTGGTAACGCCCATCATGCATGGCCGAGTTTTAATGAGATGATGTTTGCCAAGGGTGTGGCCACAGCGATGCTGCCCAAGCCATTATCACTATCATTGTCGTTGTTAGCACACAGATTTCCCCCAGCGTTCTCTCCCGGCTGGTTCCTCTCCGACTGTGGGTAGGACATGATTTCCTGTCCCATAGGTGTGGGTCCTGGCCATGTGACTTTTGTCATCCCTGGGGATGTCAGCCAGAGTGAGGCAGGCAGAGTCTTGAAACATGCCCGTCCGAAGGGGCTTCCCTCTGCGCCTCCCTGGGAAGATCATGCCCCAGCAAGCCCACTGATTCCAGGGTTGAGGGACACATGGAGCCAACTGGAGCCACGCCCCACTGGTCCTGGCATCATCAGTCGACTCCCAGATGGCACCAAGAATGATTGCTGAGTGAAGACATGAAGCCTCAGGAGTCCCATCCCACAGCGTTATTCAGCAGGAGTTGACAGAAACATAGTCCATTTCCTCCAAAATTAAGCCTCAGCCTCTCCACAAGCCTTCCAAGGCCCACGAAGGCCTTTCTCACAGCTCCTCGGTCATCACCTCATGCCACCATCTCCACGTGGCACCCCAGGCCTTGGCAAAACCAGAGCCCTCAGGTCTGGAGACTGCCAAGCTGTGGCTCACCTCCAGGCCTTTGCACAGAGTGCTCTCCCCCACCAAGCATGCCTCCTTCCCCTCCTGCACGTTCACAGCACCTCCTTCTGCTTCGGGTCTCAGCTTCCTCCAGGAAGCCTTCCCTGGTGCCCAAGTCTGGCACCTGGGATGTGATCACACATAACTTTGTACTTCCTCTGCCTTCTCTTTTTAATGGCCTGCTACTTAACTCTGCACCATGAGAGAAGGCATGACGTTGCCATGAAGGCAGAGACCGGATGTCCCCAGTTCCTGGCACGTAGTATGTACGTTGCAAATATTTGCTGATGGAGTACATTTTCTACCCCTTCAAGTCTCAGTCTGCCTCCTACCTGTAAAATAGGAATAATCTCAGAACTGGGCAGAGCAGTGCCCTTGCCCGGTTCGGCTGCAGGGGGAGGGTTGGTACCTTCCAGTCCCAGCCACCCTGGCCCCACGTCCTTGTATCCTGTCCTCCTCCCCGCCAGCCTCTTCCCCCTCCCAGCCTCTTCCTCCTCCTCCCTCCGCTTCCTCCTCCCTGCCTCTTCTCCAAGAGTCCTGAGGGGACGCTACAGATTGTCAGCAGATGAATGGAGCCCTCGTCCCGGATGTCTACCTGCCAGTGACACTGCTTGGACTTACCTGCCTCACGTGGGGAGCAGAGAAGGTCTTTGGATGGACTGCCCCCAATCAGTCACTGTTCTGCCTGCTGGGGTGCCTTTGGGTGACCTGCTTTGTCTCATTGGCAAGAACAGGCAGGAAAGAGGGAGGGAGGGAAGCCGAGATGTAGCCAACTCCCTTCCACTCTCCTCTGTACCCAGAGGCCCACCTCATCCCATCCCCACCCTGGAAAGATGGTGTCTCCTCGTCTTGCAGAGGAGAAAGTGACTCCCCCACCTTCACCTGTGGTGGGATTGGTGCCCAGGCCGTTGACTCCAAGATCAGTTGGCACGCTCCCTGAGTGCCCCACAGGGAGTGTGACACGGAAGACCTCAGTGACACAGGTGGGTCAGCGGGGACAGAAGGCCCTCGGGCACTACTGCAACGAAGAGAGAGACCGTGCAGGTCACGAGAGGTGCTTCCATCAACTCTCATTGTTCCTCACACCTTTTCGAGGCAGGCATGTTGCCAGCCCATTTTACAGATGAGAAAACCAAGGGTCAGCAGGCAGATGTCGTCTCCCAGGGGCCTGCAGCAATTGGGGAGGCAAAGGCAGGAGTCTTCCCTTCTTGTCTGCTGGATCACTGAATTCCAGAGGTCACACCCAAGGGCTCCGGGGCCCTGGCCAAGCCTGTTTCCTTGGGACATGTCCTGTCCCCATGGTGCGGTGATCAGGCCACCAGGCCACCAGGCTCCCTGGGTTCCACCAGTAGTTGGTGTGACCCTGTGCAAGCGTCTTATGTTCGCTGAGCCTCAGTATAGCAACTATTTTTTGCTTCCTAACAAGCCACTTCCAAATATAGCAGCTTGAACAACAACCATATATTTAGCTCGTGACTCTGCAGGGTCACAGAACAAGCCGGGCACATCTGGCAGGGGTCCCTCATGCATCTGTGGTAGGTTAGCCCAGTGGCTTTGGAGGCGTGGTTGGCTGTCAGGCTGGGGGAGGATCATAGGACCATACACCACACACACCACTCTCCATCTAGGAAAGCAGCTTGGGCTTGTTCGCAGGGCAATGACAGAGAGTGAGCAGAGGTGCCCAAGGCCTTCTATTATGGGCTGAATTTTGCCTCCCCAAAAAAGACATGTTGAAGTCCTAACCCCCAGCATTTCAGGATGTGACCTCATTTGGAAACAGTGTCCTTACAGATTTAACCAAGTTAGGATGAGTTCATTAGTGGGCCCTCATCCAGCATGACTAGAGTTAGGAGCTCAATTGTGTTCCCCACCCCCAAATTCACATGTTGAGGCCTGCATCCCCAGAACCTCTGAGTGTGACGGTAGCTAGAGACTTTGAAGAGGTGACTGAACCAGACATAGTGGCTCACACCTGTAATCCCAGCACTTTGGGAGACAAAGGCCAGAGGATTGCCTGAGCCCAGGGTTTCAAGACCAACCTGGACTTGGCGAAAGCTCGTCTCTACAATAAATCCAAAAATTAGCCGGTCGTGGTGGCATACCTGTAGTTCCAGCTACTTGGAAGACTGAGGTGGAAAGGTCGTCTGAGCCCAGCAGGTCAAGGCTGTGGTGGCCGTGAGCATGCCACCGCACTCCAGCCTGGATGACAGAGTGAGACTCCAACTCAAACATAAAAAAATAAAAATAATAAAAGAGGTGACTAGACCACTAGGGCGGGCCCTCATCAGATCTGACTGCTGTCCTTACAAGAAGAGCGAGTCACCCAGAGAGACGCTGGAGCACACGGCAGAGTGACAGCCACGTGAAGTCTGAGCAAGAGGGCAGCCATGGGCCAGCCGAGGAGAGCAGCTTCAGGAGAGACCAGCCCTGCCGACACCTCTGTCTCGGACTTCCAGCCTCCAGACCTGTGAGAGAAGCCATCCCTGGGCCTTCGAAGCCACTCAGTCTGTGGTCCTTGTTATGGTGGCCCCAGCCAACTCCTACAGCTGGAATCCTTCCAAAAAGAGGAACCTGGTCACAGGCACGCATGGAGGGAAGACGACGTGATGACAGGCAGAGGGCCACGTGAAGGTGGAGGGCCGGGCGACGGGTTCATAGGTTGGCAAAGGCCGTCAGAGGCTGGGAAGGAGCAAGGAACGACCCCCACAGGTTCTAGAGGGGCGTAACCTCTCGGCTTCTCGGCTTCAGATGTCTCGCCTCACCTCCGCAACTATGTGTCAACACAGTGCTGCTGTGTGAGCCTCCTGGTTATAGTACCTAGTTGTGGCAGCCTTGGGGAACTAACCCACCCTCAGCTTGGCATCAGGATGGAAACACCTTCACTTCTGCTCTTCTGCTGCCTTCTGCTGTTCAAGTCAGTCACTGGCCAGCCTGTGGTCACATGGTAGGGGAATAGGCGCTGTCTCTCTCTCTCTCTCTCTCTCTCTCTCTCTCTCTCTCTCTCTCGTTGAGTCTCACTCTGTCGCCCAGGCTGGAGTGCAGTGGTGTGATCCTAGCTCACTGCAACCTCAACCTCCTGGGCTCAAGTGATCCTCCCACCTCAGTCTCCCAAGTAGTTGGGACTACAGGCACATGCCCCCACACCTGGCAGGCTCTACTTCTTCTTCCTTTTTTTTTTTTTTTTTAGCATTTAAGTTTTTATTAACATGAGTTTTTAAAAACAAGCATCCATACCAGTGTGGGGGGTGAAGTGGCAGAGAAAGGGAATCTACTGATAATAAAGCTCCAGGTTCAGCCCATCGTGGATTTCATAGTTCTTCAGTGACACCTGGGTCTTAAAAATCATGTACCATTTCTTCAGGACAGTCTTGTTCCAACGGGTGCCAGTCTGGGCTGCGATCAGCTTCTTAAGGTCCCCGAGGGTGTTATCAGTGTTGCATTTAACGCAGCCCTTTTTCCCCAGACAGTTGTTGCAGACAACCCCGATCATCCTGGCTGGAGCTAGAATCGCCTGGAGCCTAGCGATGCCACAGCCTACTCGCCTGGGCATCCAACTCCTGCCATTGGCTCTACCTCTTAATGGGTGGAACTTCAAAGTCATGTTGCAAATGGATGGGGTTACAAGGAGGAGAATAACCATGGCATTGTTTGTAGTCAACCACTCACAGTCACCTCATCTGTTAAACGAGTCCAGAGATATGTCTAACTCAGTGTTCTGGATTCAAGGCAACGTTGAGAAGGCACTTGGCACAGAGCAGTCACAAATTAAAGTCCCCACAAAAGCAGGTGAGGACCTGGCAACACACACAGATGCTTCTGAGGGCAGGGCCCTTATTCACAATTGAGCTCCAGTTTCGAGCCCAGTACCTGGCACAGGACAGAAGCTCAGGAACAGTCGAACGAGGTCCAACAGGTTTGGTATAGAGTCCTTGCCAGTCCCAAGGGCCCACCCAGCGCCACCTCCCATCTGAAGGTGCCCATCCACAGTGAAACTCCACCACTTGAGCCAACAGCCTCGTCCCCACGTGGTTGCTGTAAAGGACAAACAGGCCCTGAGCCACCCCGAGCTCACGCATCCCGGGAAGCTGCTTCTTGGGCACCTGCTCCGTCGCCTGCTCCACACAGAGCAGTGGCCCACAGAGCAGAGGGCATGGCCCCCTCCCACTCTGAGACAGGCAGAGCCAAGCCAGCTCCTCCGGGTCCCTGCCCTGTTCCATGCTCCTCCCCAAGATGCCACCATGCACCAGTGGGTCACAGGTGTGCAAGCTCTTACAGTATTCCTGTTCCACCCTAATTCCTTCAAACACTGAAGCTCAGACCACAAGACAGATGATCAACCTTGTCTTTTTTTTCTTTTGGGGGGGAAAGAGGGAGAAGGTAGGGTGGAGAGAGGAAGGACACACTCACATTTGCCAACCCCAAAATGCAATTTATAAAACGAAAATCCGGTGTGACGTTCAACTAAATTAACAATTTGTAGATAATTCACAATGCTCGTACCATTAAGCAAATGCACTTTAAATTGATTTCAAATTAGTGGGCTAATGATCGCCCCAGGTCCGGTCTCTGCCAGCCCCCAGTGCAGCATTTTTTAATGAGAGGTGGGTGAGTAGTAACAGCCTCTTTATTCCATAATTGAAGCCATAATTGAACTGGAGGTCATCGCCAAGGGCCCTATTGATCGGCATGGAGAGGGAAAGTGCTGACCTTGGCCATCTTCAGGCCAGGGGGTCTGCTGGGCCAGGGAGGCCCCCACAGCTCTGGCGGGCTTTCAGTTTATGTCCTGTGTGACCTGCAGGCAGCCTTGAAGGCTGTTGGTGGAGTTTAGTAACCTTGGGCAGAGTGCTCACCCCCAGTCCTGCAGATCGTCCTCAGAACTCCCCAGAAAGCATGCCAGGGCTCTGGGTAATCCTCGAATGTTCCCAGGTTGACCCTGCACCTCTCCTGGCCCACCTTGCCTGCTGGCCTCCAACTCCCTAGGCCAAGGGCATTGAGCCAAGGTACACAATGGACATGCTCCATGCTCCCTCCTCATCCTAAGCCTTGAGTTCTTAACCCTCAGGTCCCCCAAACCCCGTAGAATGGCAGGTGGGAGGTCCCAATCCTGTCAGCACAGCTGGATTGCTCTCTCTCTTGGAGCACGACCCATTACTGTCTCTGGTGTGGCCTCTGCTGGGGCTACGAGAACCTGTGGACACAGGAGCCTCATTTACCTGCACAAGTCATGTGAGCTGTCCTGAATCTAGAGTGCTTTTCTCCAAAGAGTACAGCAGAGAAGAGGAAGTGGGAGAAAAAGCAGAGAGGGCGTTAGAGAGGTCCAGGGGAAGGAGTGAGGAGGCTGGCAGAAACACAGAGAGACAGAGACAGGCAGACAGAGACATAGACATAGAGACAGGGACAGAGAGAGGTGGAGAGAGACAAAGAGAGACTTGCAGAGAGAGAAATAGAGAGATACAGAGACCGACAGAGAGAGAAGCAGACAGAGAGGTTCATTTTGCAGAGGAGTGTGTGGTGGGAAATCTCAGGACCTCAGTGTCAGAGAGGACAGCCAGCGGGAGTTGTGAGCTCTGGGCACTGGGTCCTCTAATGACAGATGAAGGTTAGGGCAGTCTATGAGGCACTCCTCATATGATCTTAGTATGACAATGTCAGCAGTGGATATATTGCCTCCAAATCTCATAAAATCTAAGGAAAAGGTGGGAAGGTAGAAGAAAGGAGAAGGTGCCCTGTCCCCTGCTGCCTGTCCCTCCTGCTTCTGGCACACAGAGCTCCTGGTCGAGTTGTAATTGGCTTCTGTGTGTCTGCAGCCCTGGGACTCCCCTGGTACCCTGCAGTGAGGACTGTGCTCCTGGCTTTCCTCAGCCAATTCCTCTCTCAGGCATGTTCTAGCCTGGGGTATGGAGGAAGACGAGGAGGCAATTCATCTTACACTCTTCCCTGTCTCTTTCACATTCCATTACGGGGGTCAGCCAGAGAGAGGAGAGGTATGAGAGACGAACATCTCTGGTTTCTAGGCAGAGATTAGTAAGGAACAGTCAGCTAATCAATATTGATCAATAGGGTGCCCTAGAAAACTCTAAAGCCACAATTATTTAAACAAACCCTCCCCCAGGACATCTTGTTGATCTAGAAAACACAGAAAAAGCAAAATCAGAAATAGAAATTAATTTTTTTTGAATGACTATAAATCAATACAACCACATTGAAAACGTATGTATACACTATGACCTGCAATTCTACTCCTGGGTATATAAGAGGGGACCAAAAAAACCCAGGATTATTTTTTGGAGGGCGACCACCTTGTAATACAGACTTCCCCCGCTAAGCAAGTGTTCCAGGAACTCATCAGCATCAGTGTACCAGCTACTATTTTTGTGAGAGAGTGTTGGCTTCAGTGAATTTTTTCTTGGAGATTCTTTCAATGCGTTTGCCCATTTCATGGTGAGTGATTTATGAGTACACCTGCCCACACTGTACTGAGTGTTCACCAGTTTTTGACCAGAAATGGTATGGCCCCATGCCCCACCCTTCCTATTCACCATATCTTGCCCTAAGTGACTTTTTTATTTGTTTGTTTCTCTGTATGAAGAGAGTAAAGGGAAGCATTTTGCTGACATGGAAGAGGTGAAACAAAAACCAGCAGAAGCACTAAAAGGCATTAAAATTGATGAGCTCAAAAACTGTTTTGAGCAGTAGAAAAGCATCAAACAGAAATGGATTGCCTCAAACAGAGAGTACTTTGAAGGTGACTGAAGTTTATACATATAAGAATAAATACACAATTTTTTTTTTTTTGAGCTGGAGTCTCACTCCATCACCCAGACTGGAGTGCAGTGGCACACTCACTCGACCTGCTGGGCTCCAGCGATCCTTCTGCCTCAGGCTTCCAAGTAGCCAGAACTACGGGCGTGCACTATCATGCCTGGCAAATTTTTTGATTTATTGTAGAGACAAGATCTCACCAAGTTGCTCAGACTGGTCATGAACCCACAGACTCAGGCAATTCTCTAGTCTCGGCCTCCCAAAGTGCTGGGATTACAGGCTTGAGACACTACACCCCGTCACAAATTTTTATAAATAAATTCCAGGTTTTGGGGGGTGCCCCCCAAATATCCAACATAAAGAAGTACTTTGTCCTTCAAAAGACAAGCACAACTGTGTCCAAAGCTTTATTCAAACTGGAAACCATCCAAATGTCCTTCAACAGCAAAATGGATACACTATGGTTTCATCACACAGACAGTATAACACAGCAATGAAAAAGAATGAATTACTGCTACACAACAACATGGAAGAATTGGAAGACATAACTCTGGATGAAAACATCAGACTCAGAAGAGGGCATGCTGAATACTTCCGTGTATATAGAGTTCGAGTATAAGAAAAGCTAATCTATGGTGACAGCTATCAGAAGAGTAGTTATCTTTGGTGGAAGGTGCTGTCTGTCAGGCGGCACAGGGTGGGAGTGGCATGTGGTTACACAAATACACACAAAGCCAAGTATTTAAGATTTGCATACCTTGTATGTTATACCTCAAAATTGTTAGCACATTTTTTATTCATTTGAATCAGGATCTCACTCTGTTACCTAGGCAATCACAGTTCACTGCAGCCTTGACCTCCTGGGCTCAAGCAATCCTTCTGCCTCAGCCTCTTGAGTAGCTGGGACCACAGCTGGCTAATTTTTTAATGTTTTCTGTAGAGATGAGGTCTTGCTATGTTGCCTAGGCTGGTCTTGAACTCATGGGCTCAAGTGATCCTCCTGCCTCAGCCTCCCAAAGTGCTGGGATTACAGGTATGGGTCACCACACCTAGCCTAGCCATTTTCTTTTCAGTTGGAGTCTCACTCTGTTGTCCAGGCTGAAGTGCAGTGGCATGCTCATGGTGGCCACAGTCTCAACCTGCTGGGCTTAGGTGATCCTTCCACCTCAGCCTTCCAAGTACAGGCATGCACTACCAAGCACGGCTATTTTTTTTTTAAATTTATTGTAAAGATGAGGTTTCACCAAGTTGACCAGGCTGGTCTTGAACCCCTGGGCTCAGACAATCCTCTTGTCTCGGCCTTCCAAAGTGCTGGGATTACAGGCTGAGCCAAACCGCCCAGCCTGCAAACATTTTAAATAGCCACATTTTCACTCCAAAATTTAAATTATCATCGGTCACTCCTTGTGGGCCACAAGATCACAGAGCTTGTGCCCTGTTTTCCATCTCGAGACAATTGGAATCATATCTGCCCATTGGGCATACACAGGCCCCTGGGGCAGAGGTCTCACTACAGAACATGCCGTCTAAGGCTGGCCTGGCGAGTGTCATGGTAAGTGGAAGCTATGAGCCAAGCTCTGTGGCGCTTCTGCCCTTTATCGTGGCAGTATTGATGTGGCTCACAACACGTGAGGCTGGACATACCCTGTGGAGCTGCCAGAAGGACTTCGCATTCCACTGCCCTGCCGCCCTCCGTAGAGCAGGCTCGGACGACTGCAGCAGCTGCTGGCTAAGCGTCAAGAGATGCTGAAT